AAAACCAAATTCCAACAAAGGATTGATTGCCATATATAAATTTATGCATAGACTAACTTACATCTTTGTACATCATCAAGTATACTCTTGTATTTTGCATACTTTGATTTATTTGTAATTGTCTGTTTTTCTAAAAATCAAAGGACACATTACTCAACGTTAGTGCTGGCCACAACTTTGGAGAGTTGCTGATTGTTGTGTATTTTTATTGTGATTTGTGAACACATGTTTCATGACTATGATAAAATTTGATTACTCTTCCCTAATAATAGCAACTCACCGAGTATGTATGTAGTTGTATAGTTGTATATAGTTATTTATAGTTAAGCCAACTTTGTTTTCTTACATATTGCTTTTTACATTTATGATATTGATATATCCTATGTATTTATTTCCTGTTATGTTATGTTAACAGTTATATATAATATGTATTTATAGTTTAGTATTTTATTGTATGTATATAGTTGTATATAGTATATATTTTAATTTATTTTATTTCTTCATCATTAGTCTATTGTGTATAACATGTACTTCTGAGCATTGCTATTGTATTGAGTTTAGCCGGTAATGCTTTCTGCGGGGCCGGCCTGTATATATATATATTTATATGCACAATAAATAATAATGAATGAATGAATGTACTAACAGAGATATCTGGAATTGCATGGCAAAAAGTAATAAGGACAAGCATTAAAATTAAAACTAACTAAAGTTTGGTTATTTTAGCTCAAGCAGCACCAGGTATATCTGCTAGTTTAAAAATATAATATAAATTTATTTATGCCTATTGACTTCTAACAAACCTTACTAATTTATTGACCTTCACAGGTTGTGACTAGTGTAGTTTAGTACTGAAACCAAAACTAAAACAAATTATCATTTGGATGTTATCTTACACTGACAGTTGATTCTGGCCAGAACATTTACTTTCTCAAAGACCTTATTTTTATCAACCAGACAAAGTGAAACTAAAATTTTTCCATTTTTTGTGGTTTGGTTCTAAGCTGATCTGCAGAAACTTCCTCTTCTTTGTATTCCCATGAAGATGGCTAAGGTATTCTGTGTAATGAAGAAAGAATGAGGATTTCCTTTTGAATTGATAGTTGAAACAACTCTCTCTAGTTTTTCAAAGATCTTCCTTAGATTCCTCCTGCNGCTAAGGTATTCTGTGTAATGAAGAAAGAATGAGGATTTCCTTTTGAATTGATAGTTGAAACAACTCTCTCTAGTTTTTCAAAGATCTTCCTTATACCCCGTTCGCACACAATCCACGACTCACTTCGATCTCGATTTACCCACAATCTGGATTGTGACTGTCGCCAGTGGAACGTCGTGCTAATCGCACAGATAACTCGCTTGAGAAGAACCCGGCTATTACACGCGATGATAAAATTGACATAACTACGCGGTAAGTCACGAACACCAACAAACAAAATGGAAGTTTTGGTTAGAAATAAATACTTTTTCTTGCCGTATATCTAATAATAAACAGATGTCATCATCTCTCCAGATGTCTTTTTTATTTTTCTGTCGATAACCGGACACGTGTTCAGCAGCCATCTTGTATTTTCTCGCGCGCGTGGGATTGAGGGATCTCTCTTATAACTGGATCTAGTTTCGAGAACTCTCTCCAGTCGATCGCGATTTAGCCTCGTTTCAGTCGAGATTGAAATGGTCGAGAGCGTTCGCACCGCGGAACTCTCTCCGACTTAAGCCACAATCTAGATCGAAATGCTCGGTGCGAACGGGGTATTAGATTCCTCCTGCAAATTTTCCTTTAGTGAACAGTTAATTCAATTTTCTTTGATTGGACTGTCAAATTACAACCATAAACAGCTACAGGAACTTTGGAAAGATGTAAGGAAAGGAGTAGGAAGCACAACACTTAGCATCCCTTTCACATGCTACCCTGCTGAAATTATGGAGAAATTGATGAGAAAAATATTGGAAGTTAAAACAGGTAGCACAGTGTCTATCAACTTCAAATTTTAAAATTTCCTGATTGTTTCCACAATTTTCCTAGGCATATGCCTAGGAAAATAGAGTTAAAACTGCTTCAATGCACATTTCCTCTGTTGCTAAGTGTTTTCATAGCTTTAATTTGATTTTAAATTTTTCTAAGTTCCACTGCTGTGTCCCCTTTTGATAAGGATTAATGTCTAGCTGATTTGGTGAAACACAATTTGTAGATGCACCTAATTTCTTATACACTTCACTTCATCTCAGAAATTTCATTTGCAATTCACTTTTTTTATTTCAAGGCCCAGTTTTTGTTTATGAGATGCGTTCTGTCAGTGAGTTAACATGGATTTCCACAATTGTAAATTCACTACAACTCATTAGTAGCATTATGACAAATATATGACTCTGTGTTGGTTCTTGATAAGCATCCTTTTATTTACAGAAAATTGAGACACAAGGCATATACAGTGGGTGATCGGTTAACGAACATAATCCGTTCCAAGACTTTGTTCACTATCCGAATTGTTCGTTAACCGATTATTGATTTACCATAGGTTTCTATGGGAATTTAATTAATTTGTTCTGGAGACCCCCAAAAATAAAAAATATATACTTTCTTACTACGTTTATTTATATGTAATAATAAAAATACATACATACACAGTCTTGCATTTTTATTAGTCATGTTTTTTCCGTTTGAAAGGGTTAAAGAATCTGTCTAATGTCGATTGCTTTTCTCTCTTCTTCAGGATTTTTCGTAAGTAATTAATAGCATTGCAATTGTAGAAATCCCCAAGCCTCAACCTGGTTTGGATGCCATTCTAAGACCGTTGTTCTGACATCCTCCCACTTCTTCAAAGGATCTTTAATAACAGATATCGGCATTAATCCTCTTTTTCAGAAGAAAACATATCTCGCCGAGTTTCTTGGTGTTCTTCATTCAAGAGTTCTTGGCGTTCTTCTGTCGTCAGATCCGTTTCAGGTTCCATTATGAACTCTTCGATGTTCTTTATTTCTCAGATGTGATTTTTGTTACTCCTTTAGCTGCTTGAGTCTTCTTGATTATACAGTATTTTTCTTAAATAAGATTGAACTGCGGCCTACTGTAGACCTGTTCACGCCATACTGCCCAGCAACATTAGGCATCTTCTGCCCACTCTCTACCTTTGCTATTATACTCTCACCTTTCGAAAAGAAAAACAGACGCAAAACTTAACGAGTGCCTACCCGACAGTCTCGCGAATACATAAAAGAATTGTTTTGTCAGAAAAATAAAAGGCTGGAATTACAAGGGAGAGTTTCAAAGTTCGGAGGAATACTATCCGATCGGTATATACCGGCTTGAGCGTTGATGTCGACGTCTCCCACACTCCGAAAAGTTTCGAATTGTTTCCCGAAGACATGGGAAGACCAATCGGTATTCACTATTTTACATCGCTTCTTCTTGTGTTTGTTCGTTATCCAATCATGTGTTCGTTGTACGAACATAAAAATCTTTCACGAAAGTGTTCGTTATCCGATCTGTTCATTAACCGATCACCCACTGTATTAATAAACTTATACAAATTTTGCAGTTCACCTTTTTCATTGATCAAGCTAGAGTAGAGTTTATCAAGTCACTTATAGTTTATTTTAAAAATGTCAATGCAACTTTTAAATAAAGAGAGAGAATAAATTCACTAAATTCTTTTGTAACACAATCTACCTGTAATCACTGCCTCTGTACTATCATATGCCTGATAAGATGGAAATGTTTTATGAGCTTTTCCAAAGCCAGTTTCAGGAAAGTTTGGCTTGTTTCTGGTGAATAATTGATCAGCTTAGAGTTCAGACGAGATATCTTTTACAATCTTGTACTCCTATAACTTTTCCACCATGTGCTAGGACTGATGTAGAGATAATTTGGTGAAACACATTCTATGAATGCACCTAATTTGTTTTTTATATACTTCACTACTTCATTTAAATAAATTTTTAAATCATTAAAATTACAAGGAATTTTTTTTACACTAATTGCTTTAGAAACATATATACATATTATTATTACAATATTGACAATGTTGACAAAAATATTCTTTTTATACATATATACAAAAAAGAACATTTTTGTAACATAATTGATGGTTAAAAAGACATTGTGAAGATAAAATTTTATGCCATCATAATTAATTATAAATAAACATCTTATGGGGATTAAAACAGAAGTTTAAATTTTTTCATACAAAAGGCCTTTATCTAAGTCATTATGACTTACATAAAGGCCTTTGTTGTAGCCTGCTTTTTAGTTTACAGTATGTTTTGATTTTCTGAATAATAATGAATATGGCTCACATTTCATATACATCTATTTGACTGGCCCTTTGCTGAATTTGAGTTCCCTGTTTTATACTTTTGAATAAGCACACTAAATAATGCAGGAAGTGAACAAGAAATATATGTATTAGTTAACACTCAAAGTTATACTCAATTGTGACTTAACTCAATTGTGAAGATTGCTTATGCACTTGAGTTGTGTGATTGCATTGTTACATCATCATTAATGTTAGTAATATTCTCAAAAATTTAGCTGTTAAACATGAATACTCAGTTTAAGAAGAGAAAATAATGGGATAGAACCAAGTTTGTAAGGTACAATGAGTGAAATGTAGAAACACATTTCTACCAAAGAAAGCTTTCCATTGTAAAGCTTTGGCTCAATTATTATTGTTTTATTTGTCCATAATAATTGATAGTTTTAAAAGTTCAATACTAGAACTAAATGATACAATATCATTTAGTTAAAAGTCAATATTACAACAACAATGGAATTATTTAATATGAATTGCCCTAAAATTTTACAGACAAGTTTTTTGTGAAAATTTATTATATAATCTTCATTTAAAATTTTTTAAGTTTTAAACATAAGTTTGTTTCTGATTTTAAAAATCTTGAAATTTTTCATATGTTGTTTATCACTTCTGAACATTATACTAATTTTTTTTTAAGATTATGTAAAATTCAAATTAAATAATTATGAATATAATTTTTTTCATATTTAGGTATTTCCTCCATCTTTTAGAGAGTTACCGAAACCAAGTTTGGAATTGTTTGATCTAGATGAAGCATTTAGTTCTGAAAAAGCTCGAATTGCTCAGCTAACCAACAAATGCACTGATAATGACTTGGAATATTATGTAAGAGAATGTGGTGAAATAATGGGAATCACCAATAAGTTACCAACAGGCCGGCGAAATGCCAAGCACATCCTAGAGTATATATTTACTCAAGTGGTTGAATTCAAAAAGATAAATCAGGTATATTTAATAAATGCATTAAACATCAAAAAGAATTCATTTATTACAGATTTTTTCCAATTACAGGGTCAGGATATAGAACCAGATTTAATTAATCCATGAGTGTGCTGACTGAAGATTCAATGCATGTTTTTTATTCATACTTTAGTTAATATATTTGTATATACATGTGTACACATACACACAACACACACAGATCATCACAATATCTTGTAAATATATCACCATAGAATTGCATACTGCACAATAATAAATGAATTTTTTTTAATCTTAATATGTTGATACTTTCTTCATCACATGAATTCATCAGAATCATTGTCACTTTCCTAAAATTAAAAAAAAAAAAAATTAGTATTTGCACTTATTTCTGACCAAATATTTTATATAATTATATATCAAAATGTGACAAAATCAAGAATAATTGTTACTGCAGCATGAACAGATATTTGAGAATAAAAAGAACTTAGATTTTTAATTTTATCACAGAAAACTATGCTTACCTGATGAAAACACACAAGATTATTGCTATAATTGCATTATTTATTCTATTCAAAGTCATTTGTATAATAATAAATTTTGCTGTTATCTTCACATAAAACGAAATTAGCTTTTTAAATATTTTACTGATCAGAGAAGATAATTTTAAACTTAATATGAAATGCATATTTCTTCAAATATTTTTCCTTTCATATCATTTGAAAATTTTTTCAAAGAGAAATGAAAACAAATTATGCTAATGTAAAAAAGAATAAATATTATAAAATAAGGCCAAATGGATATGAAAAAATTTTCTATATCAGATGTTCCCAATTTAGTTGGTATAACTTCCAATAATCAATTGATTTATCTCAGGTTGATGGACAAGTTTATTTTATTAATTTAAAAATGTAATAAAAAATATAGGAATTAATAGTATATCATATAAACATAAAAATACAATTTTGCTTTACTAAAATTTAAAGACTGGATGAAATAACAGTATATTGATTATTATTTTTGTCAGTATAGAAATGAGTTAGATGGAATGTCTGACCACCACTAAATTTTCATAACCTGAGAAAGTACCGCAGGAAACGCTTTCTTATCAAACTTGAATTCTTACAAATAATACAGATTTCATCACAAGTTTATAACATTTTATTTAAAAAATAACGTCATTTATCAAAATACTTGTGCTGCTTTTATCATTTTTCAAAAGAAAAACTTTTGCAACCAAATTTAAAGAATAGCCTGCAATTTTTTAAATATTTTTCATAAAATGATAACATTTCTAAACAAAATGTCATTAACTACAGTTTCTAAATTTTAATAATCTTTCATATGCACTGAGTGGCCAGGTTATTAGACACCCTCATTCTAACTTGGATGGATTATTACTGACAAATGGTGATATAACAGCAACAACTAGCATATAAATAGCATGCTTGATATCAAGAGAACTGTTTATCAGTACAGTTAACCTGAACATGGGTAAGACAAAAGATTTAAACATCTTCAATTGAGGTGTGATCATGGGGGCAAGAGTTTCAGTATTTCAGAAACTGCTAACAACCTTGGCTTTTCTCATGCAGCAGTATCTTGGGTGTCCACAGAATGACTGTTAGGTCAAAAATGTAAAGCAATAAGTGCAACATTGGACAGAAAAGGCTTGTGGATCAAAGAAGTAACAGGCAACTGGTATGAATTGTCTGTGGCAACAGAAGGGCAACAACATGACAGATTGCAGCTCAATACAATACAAATGAGGCAAACAGCATATCTGAACACACAAAACCTGTCTGGAACAAGGCCTGGCATGCTAACAGCAGGAGATTGTCAAGGGTGCCTTTGCTATCACAGAAAAACAGGAAAATGCACCTGCTATGGGCCCAGGAACATCACAATTGGACACTTGCCTGGTTGCCTGGTCCAGTGAGTCTCAGTTCCTTCTCCACTATAGTGATAGCAGGATCAGAATATGGTGCCAGCAGCACAAATCCATGGCCTCATCAAGATGGTGGAATAATGAATAATGATCTGAAAATGTTCTCCTAGGACACATCCTAATACCCCCTGGAAACATCTCTTAATGCAAACAGACTACCTCAATACTGTTGCCTACCATGTGCACCCATTGACAACTAGTGTTCCTTGATACAGATGGGTACTTTCAACAGAACAATGCACCTGCCACTGTGCTCAGACATTCCCAGACTTTCTAAAGTAATCTTAAATAAGATTTATAACAAAGATTTATTTTTTTATTTAATGTCAAAAAATTTTAATTTATCCCAATGTTTGTATATTTTGTTAAAAACCTAATTCACTTCATATTTTAATATAAATACATATTCCTGAATAAAGATTGATGTTGTCAGAAATGCCCAGTGGCTGTCTATGCACCTAGTCATGACAGTAAAAACAGATAAAAGGAGAGAGAGTTTCAGAATACACAACAATTTTAATATAATTTAGTAGTTCAAGAACTTAGGATGAAATCATTGAATTCAGATTCCTTCCAGACAGTGATTGTTGCAAATATCTAAGTAACTGTATTTAAATACATAAATTTTGCAAAATGAACTTATTTTCAAAATGGATGTTCTGGTTTCTCTCTTTAAAATAATTTGCTAAATGTATTTATTAATTAAACTAATTATAAGTTAATTGAATTCAAGGGTTGGATGTCATGCCAATCTTTTATTTAAGTGAGAAAGGAAGAAATTATGACAAAGGCATTAATTATGTATAAATATCACTATATTTGCAAGTTCTTTTGACATATTATAAGGCGACATCATCACAAACTCAAACAAATCTTTCGAATTAAGATTACTGGCATTAGTTCTTTAGAACAAACCAAATTTAGAATAAAAACAAAGAATTTGAATTAAAGCACGCCTGATGACAATGCGCATGTGCCATGATGTGTTGAATAGGCACCGAGAGCGGAGAGCGGAGATAGAGACGATGTTTTAATATTTTATATAGGCTGACCCACATTGCAGGCAACTTGAGCATGGGGGAGTTACACGGATTTGATAATACAATAAGGAGGGCCTCCCAAACATACACCTGAGTTTGTGTTCTGCCTGAGGACGACGCCTTATAATACTTCGAAAATGCTTGCAAATATAGTGATATTTATATGTAATTAACGCCTTTGTGATAATTTCTTCCTTTCTCACTTAAACTAATTTCATTAGTTTAACATTTAACAACTAAAACATTTTTTCATATTGATTGTACTCTCCCCTATATGTGATTCCTTGTATAGGGGAAAGTACAAACAGTATATGTAATGGAAATTTATTATGTATGCAATTCCTTGTACAGTGAAGTAAATTGTAAAAAAAAATTATAACAATCAAAATGATTGAATTTATTATTTATAATTATAAAAATTTACTTAAATAACGATGATTTTTCAGATAATAAGTTTTAACTGCTTCAGCTGAATTTTTTTACAGAAATTTTATTTGATTTACTAGATTATAGAATTATATTAGAAAATTGCTTTGATACAGCTGTAATCATTTAAGATTTAACATTTTTTAAATGAATTTTAAAATGTTAAATTTAAAATTGCAGTGTTTATAAATGTTTAAGTGTTTATAACAACATTACAATTTAGTTAAATATAAACATTATATTTAATATAAATATTAATTTAATTTAAATTACCTTATTAGATTTCATGTATTCTGGCTTCATAAGTGCAGAATAACTCCTATAAATATAGAAATTAATTCCATGGGACGCATAATAGTTATATTGAAATTTAAAAAATTTGTATAATATCCCACAAAAACAATAAAAATTTTTAATTCAATACTTATTTTAATTCACTTTTTAAAATCACTTACAAAATAAAATGTAAAAGATATGATCAGATAATATAATTCAATTCTGAAATATCTTATATACAAGGGTTGATTAATAAGATCTCCTATTTCAGCATTCTACAAAGTGCAGTGATAGAAACATATAGAAACATATGGCTATCATTTAGTAGCCACAAGAATTTGTAGTTCAGTTCACCATAACTTCAGACTACTGCCAAATCTAAGCAGCCTTTTAACACATTGTACAATATACCCTCATGTGCAAAACTTAAGGATAATGTGGTGTAAGGAAGGTATTTATGACAGGAAAAACAAGGAGAATTTCCCATATATGGATTGCAGATTGCATTGCAAATGGTATCAAACTGCAAACTGTGTGAGAAAAGGTACAGAATGGGCAACATGGACGACAATTGAGAATGGTGTGAAAATCAGAAAATTGTGTTAGTCCCATGTGTTAGTCCAGGAAACAAGGTGCGGCACAGGGACATTAACAGTGTGTGTGATCACCCCGCACTAGGTCTTGCAGTGTGGGGTGATCACACACACTATGCACCACAATGCAAATGCATGCTGAGAATGAGGTTATCAAGAAGTGGCTGGGGTATGGCTTCCCATTCTTGGACCAGTGCTTCCGTGAGCTTGGGAATGGACCTTGGAGCCATTTGATGACATGCAATCTGCCTGCCAAGCATGTCCCATGCATGCTCTATTGGGTTCAAGTCTGGCGAGCAACTGGGCCAATCAAATCATCTGATATCTTTTGTTTCGAGGTACTCATCCACTATGCCTGCCTGATGGGGACGAGCATTATCATCCATCAGAATGAAGTCACTGCCCACTGCACCTCAAAAGAGATGAACATATTGGTCCAGGATGGCATCCCGATACACTGCACCTATGATCAAACCCTGTGGGAAGACATGCAGGGGAATGTGAGACCCCAGGATGATGCCACCCCACACCATGACTTCTCCACCTCTGTACTGGTCCAGTTCAGTAATGTTCTCTGGACGGAACCATGCCCCAGGTTCTCTCCAGATGAAGACACGTCGTGAATCACTGCTAAGACTAAACTTGGATTCATCTGTAAACAAGATATGACTCCATTGCTCCTGGGTCCATGTGTGATGTTCCCTGGACCAATTCAAACAAGCTCTTTGCACTTGTTTTAATGGAACACATACAGGTTCCTCAGCTAACCATCTGTACAATGTAAACCTTGAAATGTTGGTCCCTGTAGCAGCTGCAAGATCTCTAGCGAGATCTGAGGCAGTGCTGTGTCTATTGTGTCTGGCTGTTAGGCGTAAGTAATGGTCCTCTTGGCCAGTGGTACACCTTGGACAGCCTCTGCCACACCTCTGAGTGACATTTTCACCATGTTGGAATTGTTGCCAGACCCTTGAGATAACACTTTGGGGGACACTTCCATTTGGGTCTGACTGCTCTCCAGTCGTCCGATGATTCGTCCACGCATAAAATCATCCAAATGGTGTCTCTGCACCATTCTCCTACATGTGCACTATCAGTATGGCCAACAACACTGCTGCATGTATTCAATCTGTGATGCAATGAACACAACTATTGGTGTGTTGAAACTGCACGCGACACGTATCTGATTACAATGAGTGTTTAAAGTGCCACCAAGCAGTAGATTCATGGATCAAGTGTGACACACAGTCAAGGACTTGAACTAGGAAACACTGCATGCACTTACCACTGTTTCCCAACATGTTTTCTATGTAAATGCACATTATCCTTAAGTTTTGCACATGAGTGTATATTAATTATGTAAGGATATAACATGTTACATCTACCTTCAGACTATATTTTGTCATAAATTACTTGTTAGTATTTGGCAATCCATAGCTTTCACAGTAGTCCAAAGTTAAGGTGAACTATAGTCATATGTGCACAATTTGTTTGTTTTATTATGTTGTCTGTTGCAAACAGTAAGTTCAAAAATAAACTCATATTACTCATTCTATATAAAGAAGCAAGCAGTAGTCAACAAAAAAAAAAATACAATTCGGTGAAGTGTAAGATTTCTTAATATCAAGACAGTTCTTTTCTCTCTCTTTGAATATTGTTTTACTTGAACTATGATAATGCAAGACTGCACTGCAGTAAGAAAACAACAGAAATACAGATTTTTCCATACACTTCTTATAGCCTAGATTAGCACCAATCTACTTATGGTTTTTTTCAAAACTTAAAAGTGTTTACTTTTCAGAACCACCTTTAATTGGATACCAAAGTTAAGCTACTGAATGAGAATGGAAATAAATTAAAAAGAAACCAGAAAGTTTTTGTATACAGAATGCAAAAATTGATTAAGCATTTTAAAAAAATGTCACTCTGAATGACAATTATGTCAAAAAACAAACACATGATCAGTTTTAAATAGGAGTAGAAATTATATTATTCTCTCTTTCCAAACTTATTTTTATGAAAATAGAAACCTTACTTATCAATCAACCTTCATAATATTTTATTATATCACAAAAAGATGAAAATGAAGTTAATATGACAATTTTAATTTGATATGCTACAAAATTTGTGTGTGTAAGATGTCACACTCATTAATAATATAAAAAAAAATGTAAAAATAAAAATTCAAAAAATTTCATCAATATTTAGATGGACTGGTGCAGGATTTTCATTGAAAAATAAATATGAATTTTCATTCATATTTATTTTTCATTAAAATAAAATTTAAACTATAACAAGATTAAGACTGATTCAATTGCCAAATACTGGTCTACTATTTATATTTGAAAAGTGATCTGTGTTAGACAAGTTGTGATGATCCCACAGGTGATCAAAGTTGCTAACCTTAATGTCTGAAAGACTTCATATAAAACTTGTTTGAATAAAAAAATCTTGTAAACATTGTGAGAATAACTGCTTTTATGTGATTCCGTAAAAAAACTGGTGAAATCAGGTTGAGAAAGCAAAGCTCAGCAAAAACATGCAAGTAAAGGAAACTTTTGAAAATTGTGGCATAAGATTAATGGAAGCAGATTTGACAGTTAGACTCAACATGTGAATAAAGTGCATATTACACACACTACAATTACAGAAAATTTTGAACGAAGCAATGTCACCACGATAATAAATAAGAAAAATAAACATTGACACAGAAAAAGACTTCTACTTTGTACCTTAAAATCGTTGCACATACATTAATTTGGCTGAACGTTAGAACATCTTTAAGCTGTATCAGTGAAGGAAGTATGGGGCATTGGGTTTATGAGTTACTAAGGGAAGATGAAATCAGAGGAGGGGCAAGATGTCCAAGTTTCCTGGTAGTTAAGTGTGTCCTGGTAAATATAGTGTTTATAGGAAAGTTGTTAGAACTGATTTGGTTTATTTGGATATGGCAATGCGATATGTGAGCGATCTGCCAAGGAGAATGCACCCTGAAAAGACTTTCATGTAAAGCTGGCCCCAATTTAAGTGTTACTAATGTGAAGAAAACCCAGAAAATTCCATATGACCAGTCCGTTGGCCACACACAAACCCACAACTGACTACCAGAGTTCAGTGGTGTTATCCACTCTGCTATTGGAAGGTACCTCCAGTAGCTGAGTTGATAAATTGGGCTGCAATTTAAAAAAATTGTAGATCTATAAATTCCCACTGTTGTCCACCCGTCTCTGTTCTTCCTTAATCTCGAGAATGGAGTTAGATAGATGAAAGTCAAAACCAGATGTGGAAATCGCAAAAGAAAGTGGACCAGATTAACCATATATGAACTTCCTATTTGTATCGTGAGTCACATTATTTCAATTCAAAAATATTCCCTGAATGGAGTTAGATACATAACTGGCACAACTCTATTGCTTAAAGAAAAGGTATGATGTATAAGGGCAAACACTACTACACTCTTGGCGGCCGGATGGCTGAGTGGTCAAGGTGGCAGCCTACCACTCTGGGAGACCCGGGCTCGAATCCGAATGAATTGAAAAATCCCCAGGAATTTTTCGGGGTTGGTCTGTTCGGATCTGTCCCTCACCACCCAGCAGCCCCATTGTGGGCCTGGCCAAACCCATAATGGGCTTGCAAAAAGAGGCCCCTTAATGCCCACAGGGCAGAAAGAGTTAAAAAAAAAAATACTACTACACTCTATGCAGGAAGTGTTATATGCTACCTGTCACAGTAATGGCTTAATGGCACATCTATTTCACACTATACTGTTGCAGTAATCAAGTGAATATAATATATATTTTTTAAAAATTATATCCTTTTATGTAAGAATTATATTTAGTTAATTGTTTTGTTAAATTTTTTCCAATAGATGGCATTACTTGTAAAGCCAGCAATCAAATATGGGAAAATTAATCGATATATACAAATTCAATTGATAATTTTGGGGTGGAATGTATGACATTATCTAAGTTAGAAGTATTTGAACGTAACTGCTGAGTTTTGTAGCAATTGGTTGAACAGCCTAGGTGTGCGTAATAAACAAACAAACAAATATCTTCACTTATATGTATATATTTCAAATTTCTTTGAAGCTTCAATGGATTAAAACACAAATACTACAATCATAAATTTATTTATGCATAAATTTTACTGCTGCTTAAGTGTTTTCCATTTTTAGGAGTATTTTGGAAGGTATTTATTATTCTTTTAAATTGGTTTCAAACAAAATAGAATATTATTATAATGACATTTTAAGCTTTGGAAATAAAACAGCTATAAGATAATAAGTCTAATAAACATCTTGACTCAATCTTCATTCATTTCTATTAATAATTATGATTACTTGTATATTTACCAGGTTTTAGGGACAGAGTCAGCTAACACACTGTAATGTAACATTCATGGTGTTTTTCCCACTTTTTGACTGACTTCTCACCAACTTGCATAACTGTCTCAAACTTCAAATAAAACTTCTGACAAACATTTATGTATCCATTCATAGAGCATACTCTGATAAAAAAACATCTCTTCTCATGGATGATCATAGCCATTCAAATTTCAATATTTATTACGTTTCAAATTCTATACAATACTGGACCAAATATTTGGAAAATGTGGGATTGGTAGTGATCCAGATTTCTGAGTTTTCCAGTTTTCTGGACACAGGCTAAATACATATAAAAGAACAGAAATATATTAGTTTGAATGTGTATTTAACACATACAAATTAATGTACTTCTAAAATAATCTCTGTGATTATTATTAATTTTCTTAAAATATAGAATAGCATGTATACAGTTTAATGTACAGATTATTAAGATTATAAGATAAAAATTAAAGGACAAAACTGTTTTTAACACACTATATACCAGCAGTAACACTGGAACTAGTGTCAAGTGATGCATACAACTATGTAAACAAAAATAAAGTCACTGCACAGAAAACTATAGGTATATTACAGTTCACCAAATTCAACAGTAACCAATTTTAAAAAAATCCAGTGATGAATTGCTTAACTTGCCTGGCAACATTTATCATATTTTATTAAAAACTTTTAAAATTTTAACTAATATAAAATGGCAAAAAGCTTAATTTTGAGGATAAGATGGGTTTTTATAAAAATCATAATTGCTAATAATGAGTAAAGTCATCAAGTCAGACACTAATGGAAATACACATGACCTCCTTTATCTCCCCATTCCCTCAACCTTTAATCATCAAAATTTAATAGCATCAATCCCCCTAATAAACAAACCTCCTATAAAGAACATTACTATTCGGTTGTTCTACCTCCTTAAACAAAATGGACAAAGGATAAAGAAATTGAAATATTGTGGAACAAACCAAAGATAATTTATGAATTAAATGACTATTATTTAATTAGATTATTAGAATATGTATATATATGTATATCTATACATATATAATCTTATCTGAATACATTAGGATAATTAATTCACATGTTGCAACTTATTTGGACAGAAATTGGAAGACATTGTTAGAATTTAAAGATTTTTCTCCTACCAAAGAATAATTAAGATGCTTTATGAGAGCTATGACTACTATTTAAGCACCTATATAGATAAATTTGATAGCTAAATTTCCCCTATAGCTAATTTTCTTCAAATATCATTAATCATCAACTTTAAGTGCTTAAATTTTAGCTATTTTAACCAGCAGAGACATGATGTTTTTTTTTCATCGAATTTCTCAAAAATAAATAACAGTTGAACTGCAGACTTCATAGTATTCCTTAATTGATATGTTCTGAAGCAATTCCTATAGTGGTTTTCAAGTTTATGACTTTTTTCCAGAGAAATTTTATAAAAAACAATATCTTATCTGACCTGTTAATACCTGAGTAAATTCTCTCGCAGTGTGAGAGCACTGTACTCTCAATTGTTGCTCATAACAATCACAATTCAACAAAATTACAATATAGAATATTTAAATGTTACCACAATGCTACACATTCTATCTCTCTCTCCTGGTTTCAATGACTAGACCAATCCCAATTCATTTCAAATAAGTCACTTGAGCTATTTTTGACAATGCAATTTTCTCACTTTGATGTTATTGCCCTGTTTTCTTACAATCAGAGCATGATAAGGAATTTAATACTTGCAAATTTTTCAACAATTAAAATTTATGTTCATTATGTAGCAATACCATTCAGTAATTATGACCCAAACATTTATTTGGCAATTTCATCAATACTTTTTAAAATTATTAGAAATAAAATTATAGAATTCATTACTGGCAATACTTCTTGTTAAATCTAAAAGAAAACATTCCCTTGAGTGCAAGAAAACAATTTGTTAGTCATTTGACCCACTGCTGGCAGAGAAGGGAGTTTTTGAAAACAAAGTAATGAAACAATTAGCACTTTGTTGTCCTTTGCAGTGGGGACTGGCAGAATCTATTACTTTCATAGGAAAAAACAAACAAAGCTTTATTGTACTGAAGTTGAAAGATAATACAATCCTGTGAAATTTAACAAATCTGATGTCAAATGAAAGTTGAAATTTGATAAGTTTAATTTTTTGCATTTACAGATCAAATTACAGAAAATATAAATAAAAATCTCATTTATCTTTTAAATCCGCAAGTATTTTATACTGTTAGGTAGTAGAGAAAGTGTAAAAATCAAAGATATAATCGTAGTCAAGCATATATATCTATAAAAATATAAAAATTGGATTAATTTTCATTATGTATCTGGCAGATACACATGCCCAAAGTGACATCACAATACTCTTCACACCCAAGGAGGATTTAAGTAATTTCAAAAATATATTTCAGTTTAGAATATGTAATTGTTCTAATTTCAATGTCTGAGGACGGCTTCAGGAAAGCTGAAAATGTTTCTGATAAATATTCTCAGCTATCTTAACTCATAGGTTTTGATATGTTTATGGTAGAGTTTAATGGAGTTTGAAAATTATCCAAGTGTAAATTTTTTGAAGTATTCACTGAATAAAAAATTATTAGAATTAAAATCAAAATAAGTAAATTTATATACCACCAATTGTTTATTACAATGGAATATAAAGCTCTTCAGTGAAAGAAAGTGTTATGGTGTTAAAAAGCAATGAACATGTTAACAAATTCAATTATATTTTTAGAATATTTTGTTCACTAAATTTGTTAACCAAACTCTAAATTAACATTGAAAAAATAAAATCATATTAAAAATTTATTTATGGATATGAAAACTTTATTAAGAATACCTTTGTTCAGCTAATTCCTGTTTCATTTTCTGTTCTTTCTTTTCTTTTTCTTTAAGTTCTCTAGCAATTTTTTTTTCATTTTCTCTTTCTTTCCTATCCCTTTCTTCTCTTTGAGCTCTTAAATCAACATGTTCTACTTCTGATCTTGTTTTATTAAGCCGATTAATTGTTTCATTTATTCGCTTTGCTACTTGAATTACACGTACCTGCAGGAATGGAAATTCATGTAAATTTTTTCTATAGATTATAGATTATATTGTTAAATATATATTTAATTTTATTAGATGTTTATTAATTTCAACTATAGATTCACCAATAAATATTTTATTGCTGTGCCAATTAGTCAAGAATCAGTCAACATCTAATATTTTTAAAATATAATTCAACATTTTTGATTCTAAAGTTTTATTTTTTTTTTATATTTAGTACCAGTTTCAGAAAATATATGTATTTACTGAAAAATCTTTAATTATAATTTATGTAATAAGATTGTATTCATTGTTTTCAATGCCTGCAAATTGAGCTGAGCAAGATTTATGCTTAAGTCTAGAGTTTATTTAGTGCATTTCAAAATAGAAGCAATGATATTAGATTTAGTAGCTGATTTTAAAATGCAATTTCTATCAAACTTCGCTTCAAGACAACTTAATCAGTTCATACATAATAGTCTTTGAGCTTGTTCAGTATTGCCAGCCAGCAATGTTTACAAATATACAAATGAATATAGAGCTATTAAGCTAGAGTTTAGACTCAATTGTCACATTAAACTGTTTATTTACACTTATGAATAGAACTGAACTGACTGCTTCTTGCACTTTGTAAACACCCAAAATCCTAGCTTAAGTCTATGGCAGAATTTTCCTGTGATATTCTTCAAGGACATAATCTAATCAGGATTTCAAATAGCTTATGACATTCATTGACCTGGACTTCGTGTCCACACCAAATTTGGTTGAGATCAGTCAAGTGATTTCAGAGAAGATTGGTTAAATTCCCAATGACATTTGAGTATAAAAAATAAACTTCAGTTGCTCAGCTCAATTAGCAATTATTATTATTATTATTATTATGTTGGGTTTTGTGAGTTATACTCGGTTTACACCGGTGGCTGTGTACTATGCCGGATCAACAAAACTAAAATTAAATAAGTGTGTCAGTGTGTGTGTCTGTATTCAGGAATTTCCTAACAATGTGGCATGTATTCAATATAGTGGCCTTCTGTAGTGTGATGTATGTATTTCTACTCAATTGTAATGTTCCCAGGCTTTTGTGTAGTGTGTGTGGTATCACACCTGTACAGGAGAGAACGACAGGTACAATAAGCACCCTATCCATCCTCCACAGATGCCTTATTTCCTGGGCGAGTTCTGTGTACTTGCTAATTTTTTCAGTGCATGTGTTTTGTACATTGTGAGTGTTTGGAATGGCTATGTCTATAATGTATGTGATTTTATTGTGTTTGTCAATGAGTGTGATGTCTGGTCTGTTGTGGTAAATTGTTTTATCTGTGATTATGGCTCTGTCGTAGTACATTTTGTGCGTGTTGTTTTCCAATACTGTCTGTGGAATATACTTGTAGTATGGTTCGTGAATGTCTACCAAGTTGTGTTTCTTTGCAAGCTCTTGGTGTATTATATTTGCTACTTGATTATGTCTGTGTAAATAATCTGTCTATGCCAAGAGCTTGCACCCAGAAGTGATGTGTTGTATAGTTTCTGGCATGATGTGACATTTTCTGCATGTGTCATTTGTGAGTGTTATATCTTTGAGTATGTGTTTTCTGTAGTTTTTAGTATTTATGACCTGATTCTGTATGGCAATCATGAACCCTTCCATCTTCCCCAAAAATGCATCTTCAAGCTAACCAGCTATTTGACGCAGTTTTGTCAACAAAATCCTGGGCCAGGTCATAAGGATGTCTGCCTTGGAGTGCCTTTTGAGCCCACGATTGCTTGATGGTGTCTGTGCTTTTTATATTTGTGTCATGTCTGTATGATGTGAGTGTAAGTTTAATGGTGTGTTATTTGAGTCTGATAGAGTTACTGCTTTATGTAATTGTGATGTTTCTTGTTTCCTGTAAAAAACTCTCGCAGTGACTGTATTTGTTTATAGTGAATGTTAACTATGTCAATCAGGCCACGTCTGCCATCTTTACGTGGAAGGATTAATCTTTCTGTGGAGGATTTAGGATGATGTTGTTTATGCTTAGTAAGTGTTGTTCTTGTTTTCCTTTGGAGTTGCTCAAGATCTGTGTGAGTCCAATGTATAACTCCAAAAGAGTATGTGAGTACTGGGATGACATATGTGTTTATTGCTTTAACTGTGTGTTTTGCATTTAACTGTGTTCTGAGTATAGCGTTTAACCTACTTTGGTATTCTTTAATTAATCTTTGCTTTATTTGTGTATGTTCTGTTAGTTTGGCCTGTTGGAATCCTAAATACTTGTAGAACTCGCCCTCTTCCATGGATTCAATAACGTCTCCATTTCCAAGTGCAAAATCTTCTTTCTTCAGGATTCCTTTTTCTATGTGAAGTTTTTTGCATTTGTCTAGGCCAAACTCCATTTGTATGTCCTTAGTGTATGAATGTGTGATTTGTAGGAGTTGATGAAGTTGTTTTTGTGTGGATGCATAAAGTTTTATGTCGTCCATGTACATGAGATGTGAGAGTGTAAACTGTGTTGTTTTTTCGTGTCTGATATTGTAGCCGTATTGCGTGTTGTTTAACATGTTGGATAATGGATTCAGGGCTAGGCAGAACCAGAGAGGACTCAAGGAATCTCCTTGAAAAATTCCTCGCCTAATGAATATTTCGTTTGTTTGTATGGAAGTGTTACTAACCCTGAGATGCAGTGTTGTTCTCCAGTGCTGCATAGTGTTTTCGAAGAATGCAATGAGTGATGGATGTATTTTGTACATGTGTAGAATATGTAGCAGCCAACTGTGTGGAACACTGTCAAATGCTTTTCTGTAGTCTATATATGCCATGTGTATGTTTCTGTGTTGTTTGTGTGCTTGTCGTAGAATGACTGAATCTACGAGTAACTTAGCTTTGCATCCTCTGTGATTTCTACAGCAACGTTTTTGTTGTTCTGTAAGAATGTCGTGTTCTTCAACATGTTCGTATGTTTTGTTTGTGATACGTGATGTCAATAATTTGTATAGTGTTGGAAGACATGTAATTGGTCTGTATTGTGTGGGATCTGTGTTGTTGTTGTTTTTAGGTTTCATGTAGGTGATGCCCTGAGTAAGAAATTTTGTGGATTGATGATGATGTGTGTTAGATGTTTAGCTAGTTCCTGGTGCAGTGATATAAACTTTTTGTACCAGATTATTATTATTATTATTATTATTGGCATATTTAAAATTAATTATAAAACTTTCTTCATTAAAAAAACAAAAAAAATCAAATTAAAGTGAAAAAAGCAGTATATAATTGCTTCAATTAGAATTTTAAAAATTCATTGTTTTATCTATATCATAAATAAAATACAATTCTTAATAAATTTGAATAATAATCAAACTTACAAGTTATTTGAATTATTATATTCATAAAATAATAAAAATTACAAGCTCCTAAAACACAAAAAATTGCAGTAGAATATTGCAAAAAAAAGAAAACAAAAAATGCAATCAAGAATCTATTTTGTTTGATCTAGTTGAGAAAAATTAGCAATAATGTTAGGTTAGTCATAACATTCATATAGTTTGTTCTTTCTATTTACAAGTTAAAAATCACATGAACTTTTTGGGCAAAACAAAAGCTTACATTTGTTTAAGGACAAATGATTTAAATATATTATTGAAAACTGTGGTCAACAGAAAAACCAAAATAAAGATAAAATTTTTGTTATATTTTTCTTTTAATTTACAATTATTCTATTGAATATTTTAATTCTTTTACTCAAAACTTTTTAAAACTCTAATACAGTAGCCCTTTGTTATATTGTGCTTGTCAGGAAACAGAAAAAATGCAATATATCCAGCAGCATGATATAAACGAGTACTAAAAATTCCATGCTTTTACTAAACAGATTATATATGCTATGGAATCTCTATCCTCTATTCTTTCATCAGCAAGTGTTTCTGATTTAAAATAAGGTTAGTTTTTCAATACTGAATTTTATTTGTGGTTATATTGTATTAACTGACATTTACATAAACATCAATAACATGAACGCCCATTTAGCATTATTGTTTCTTTAACAATGACATTTAAAAACATATACTGTTGACATAAAAACAAAATACCAGTTGTGATTTTATTATACAGTACTATATTTCTTAATAAATCACTTATTAAAAATTTGTGTAATTTATATTTTTCAATAAAAATTATAAATATAGTAATTGAAAATTTATATTGAACATTTAATAGAATATCACAACTTATAAAAATATAGAGTAAAAGTTCTCTAAACAGCAAAATAAAGTTACTATTGGATAAAAATTTTAGATCTTTTCCTTACACAATATGCAGTGAATTTGAAATTTCACACCTTTATGTGAATGGATGGTATTGGTCAATTCATATATAGGTGTAAAATTTCCAATTCACAGAAATGTAAATGAGGAGACAGTACTTAAGACCAATAAATAAGGAATTTTTAATATCAAAAGGAAACATAAATGATAATTGATCTGTCCTCCTGTTTTGCTTATTTAGATCTTGATGAATTTATTGTTTCATCTGTAGTGGTAATTTCAAGGTCAATGGTGTGAATAAAATACCATATTCTGCTGCAAAAAGAAATTCAATGGCAATTGATAATTTAAAATTTATTGTATTGACTCAAGTGCTTTTAAAATTTGGGGATAAAAAAAGTGTGATATATTCAAATCCACAAAACACGATATAACAAGAGGCTATTGTATTTTAAATTTTTATTTATATTTGTAGTGTATTTATTTATTTAAATTTCTTTTGTAGACAAATGTATCTTTTTTGTTATTAATATAAAGCATATTTCAAAAAATATAACGTGTAATCAATAATTTTTTAAAAATTATTTTTAGATTTAAAAATTAGAGTAATAACTAAAATTCCAAAAAATTTCATAATAGTTGAATTTAAATTTAACTAAAACAATAAAAACATTCTGTTTTATATAATTCATTATAACATAAGTCACCTCTTTCTGATTATGAAATCCAACTTGTCCTACTTCCATGCCTGCTGTCTTTTTCAAATAATATGTATATATATGTATATCTATACATATATAATCTTATCTGAATACATTAGGATAATTAATTCACATGTTGCAACTTATTTGGACAGAAATTGGAAGACATTGTTAGAATTTAAAGATTTTTCTCCTACCAAAGAATAATTAAGATGCTTTATGAGAGCTATGACTACTATTTAAGCACCTATATAGATAAATTTGATAGCTAAATTTCCCCTATAGCTAATTTTCTTCAAATATCATTAATCATCAACTTTAAGTGCTTAAATTTTAGCTATTTTAACCAGCAGAGACATGATGTTTTTTTTTCATCGAATTTCTCAAAAATAAATAACAGTTGAACTGCAGACTTCATAGTATTCCTTAATTGATATGTTCTGAAGCAATTCCTATAGTGGTTTTCAAGTTTATGACTTTTTTCCAGAGAAATTTTATAAAAAACAATATCTTATCTGACCTGTTAATACCTGAGTAAATTCTCTCNCATATAATGAAATGTGGTTATATTTCATTAATTTTAATAGAATAAATTATAAAATATGTTGAAACTGCTAAAGGCTAATCTCATTTCATTGAAAAATGCTCAAATAGCTTGAAAACATAACAGTTACAACAATGCAATGTCATTTTTACCATCTTTATGTATTCATTACACAATAAACCTCTGTATAACACAATAAAAATGGCTGCAAACCTCATATAATATACTAAATCATCCTTATTTAGTATTAAGTATCATTGATTTTATCACTATTAGTTTTGATATAATGTTTATTAGGGTGGTCCATATTCTAGAGCTAAAAACAAAAATTGTAATTTGCATCTTATCACCTTCTAAATTGTGCCAATATTGAAAAAACAATATTCCCAAAATTTATCTAATTTTAGAGATTGCTACTAAAGTTTGAAACACTAAATCATCTTTATTTTAAGCAAACTACAAGGTAAGACATTACTAAGCATTTAAAATTTACAGTCAACAATTTCCATGATACAAGATGAGCATAATTTCTAACATCATTCACATGATGGAATGTTAATTATTATAGGCAAACATTCTCTTCCTAAAGTGTGGATATCTCTTCTGGTGATCACTAACAACTTGCAGAAGAAATAGGCTTTTCTGTTCATCCTGGGTGTGTAATCAATTGTATTTCTTGATCAAGAAAATTCCACATTCTGCCATATCATTAATGCATTTGATGAACTTGATGGACTTTTCTGTAGTTCACATCAGAAGGCCAGAATACAATATACAATTCTATGTCAAGACCAAGTATGTTGAAAGTATTGGCTGATACAAACTAGTCCAGATTTTTTCAATTCTAGCCTGATTGGTTTTCACTTGCTTTGGATGTTCTCATTACCTTCATTTTGAAGAGCTCAAATCATTTTGCCTTTTGTATACAGGGTGTTTCGAAATTCCTGTTACAAACTTACAGGATATATATTTTAAGAAAAACTAAAGATAAAAATGTTCAGTAACATCTTTGGAACAAAGGTTTTATTAATTAAGGAGTTATAGATGTTATTATTTTAATTAAATTGAAAGAATTAAAAACAAAATTAAAAAATTATCTTAAAATTTTTTACTTTATTTTTATGTATTTGAAAACAATGTTCTTTTTATGTGTAATACTTTTACTTTTATGTGCAATGTTCTTTTTATGTGTAATAAAAATGTGTAATACTTCTTAAGCATTTGTTTCACTTTGCATCCTAATCCATTACAAAAGCTGCTCAATGTGGTGTCTCCAACATCTATGCAAACATTGTATCTGCAAAACATGTTCTGATAAACCCATTCAGAAGTACCTAGTGTGTGTTGAATTTCTTGTGCCACAACTATAATTCATGCAAGCAAATCTTTCTGTGACTCTACAGGAATCTCATAAATAAGACTTTTCATGTGGCTCCAAAGGAACCTACTGCATGGTGGAATAAGTTACCTAAAAGTAAAAATTTACTGTATTCACTTAAAGCATATTTGTTTTAATGAAAATAAAAGATTACAATAAAAAACATACATGTACTTTTTTAATCTTTTCAGATGCATCAAATTCTAGAAGTGGTGTCACTGAACTTTAAATGTCTATAACTCCTTAATAAAGGTTTTATTCAAAAAATATTACTGAACATTTTTTATCTTATCTTCATTTTTATTTTTTCTTAAGAAATCTATCCTATAAGTTTTAACAGGATTTTCAAAACACCCTGTATATTGTCAAAGCTCCTTCAACAGCTAAAGTTGCATGTTCCTGACAGTTTTCTTTTCAGTCATATGTAAATGAAAAAAATAAGCTATTTCTTCTTGCTTTGAAGTAACTTATTTCAGGTATTTCACATACACCAAGGTCTAACAGTAGTCATTTCTTCATAAAATAAAACCTGAAACTTGTTGCACTTCAGCCTCAATTTACACTAAAAAATTATAAACTTTGAGTGCACTGAATTGTAATCTTCTAAAGATCAGAAAATTTCTCAAGTCCTTCAACAATTTACTGGGAGACTACTCTTGGATAAACTGCACTCTTTAGCTGCCTAAACTCACTGTCTCAAGTGAATTGAATTTATAGTTTAGACCACAGATTATTCCAGAAAGTTGTGGAATGTTCTGGAAAGTTGAATATTATTCTGGAAGATTCTACAATGTTCTAGAAGTTTATAGAATGATCTGGAGGGTTCTAGATTGTTCCAAAAATACAATATGGACTACTATAAACTTGAAATGACAACATTGTGCTTCTACTGCTATACTTATGTAGGATTTCTATTTAAATAGTGAGTGATCCTAAATTTAGTTTTGTGACATATTGTGATCAAAGTAGTGACCCCTAAATATTATTCAAAGCCATAAAATTTTGCCAAAATTATTTTTTTCAAAATGAACAGACTCAAAATACATGCTGTCCAAATTTCAAAAATTTAAAAGTAAGGGCCATCCTAATGTTTGTTACACTTGCCTTTAAAACAAAATTTATTTATAAAACATAAGACTAGTGAAACCTCACATCTTCCAATATCCATATTAAATCAGAGACCAAGATTTTTTTAAAAACAGTTATTTTATTCTTTTCTTCATGAACAGCAATGCATTTCGGATTAAATTTTTCTTAATCCCTCCTCAGGCTATAAATTCACAAAGGAATGCATTAAACAAAATTTGATACATTAATTTCAAATACAGTAAGATCCCACTTAATGCTGCCTAGATTAATGCTGATTCGATATAATGCAATCTGCTTGAAGCCTAAAAAAAAGTTCAAAATTTATGCTGATTCAAATTATTGTGGCATTTCATTGATTTGTATATAATACAATTATTCCAAAATACAAACCAATCAGCAAAAGGTGGCAATTCATTGTAGCGCTGTACTTCCCTTAAATCTATGTTTGTTTTGTGTAATTTCAGAAAAGATATAACATCATGGATGCCATATAAGAAATATTGACTTTGCCTGGCAAGAATTAACTGATAAATGCATAAACGAAGTGTGGAAGAAGTTATGGCTGAAGGTATCCAAGAATTCTCGACAAGAAGAGCCTAAAGGCCTACCGCTGTATTGTTAGGTTGACCAAATTGTCAATGTTATCACTACAGCAGGAGTAGGAGATGTAGACGAGCAGGATATTGAGGAGTTACTGCAGGTTTCTGGTGAGAGCATTACCGACGACAACCTTCAAGAACTGGCAGAACAAGGAATTCATATAGAACTGGAAAATTATGATTCTTAAAATGAAGAACCCAGAGAATTTCTCTACAGATGTCCTTAGTAAAAGTTTGGTAATGATAACCGAAATCGTTGATAAAATTGTAGTCTTTCAAAATCCAGATTTTGAAAGGAGTGCAAAAGCAAGATGAAGCATTCTAGATGCAATCTCCTGCTACCAACATTTGCTTAAGGAAAGAAAAAAGTGACAAATGAAACTATATGACTTTATTGCAAAAATCAAAAATTTCAGAAGAGCCAGGACTTTCATCACAAAAAACAAACTTTACATTTCTGTGTGCATTTGTTTGTGTGTTATTTAATATATATATTGTTATGCAAATTAATACAATATAAAAATAACTTAAAATTAAAATAGAATTTGCTTATTTTTGGTTGCATGTTCTCCTTTCCCTTTTTACTCTGTGTTAAAATTACCTCGTTTAACGCTGTTTCATTTAGTGCTTTGTTGTCTAGGAATGTATCCCCCACGTTAAGCAGGATCTTACTGTAATTTAAGATACAAAACACTAACCTTCCAACATAATAGTCATTTAACTTGTTTTCTCCCATTTTGTGTTTACAATTTTTTTTATAGTTGAGTATTATGTCATACCATACAGATTTAATCTCCATTCCATTATTTAAATTAAGCCAATTTTTACATTGTATTATTGCAGTATGCTCTTTAAATCATTGCAAATATACATCTTTTTCTCTGTATAATATTTTAATATTACTGTGATCAATTCTACAATTATTCCCTTTACATGAAAGAACCATGGGGACTGATGATATTTTAACTGAATGGCCACTTCATGCTCTTTCAGCTTCCTCCCGGTATTCATTTTGTTTCTTGTATATAATACATTTTTTCACTATAAGTACTTATACACAACACCTGAAAAATTTATATTTTGCAATTGAATTTGATCATCATACTTTACATTAAAATCCACTTTATTCTTTAGCTTTGCAGCTATATCAAATTTAATAAAATATTTTTTATATTTCTCAAATATACCTAGTATGTAAGGAAAGGATATATATTTTTATCTTGTTTTTTAAATTTACCTGTATATCTATTTTCTTTATAAGTTTTAATCTATTTGGATATCCGTTTAGTATAAAGTTTGTAATTAACTGTTGTTATTCTTTTAGTCTATCTTTTAACCTTGTTGTTCTCCTCCAAATTTTTGGTAATGCTGTAATGAAATTATTTCTTTTAATAAACAACAGACAGTATGATTTATAATTTATTGTTTTTTTAGTATTACAGGCTTTTTCATATGTTGTAACTCTAATATTATGATCAAATCTTTTCATTGTAATATCTAAATAATTAATGGTGTTATCATTTTCCAATTCATATTTAAATTTTATATCCAAATCTATTTCATTAGCAAATTCTACTATTTTATTTTTCATTATAATATTATCATCATAAATTATAAATATATCATCTAAATATCTAACCATAAATTTAATTTCATTTAAAACTACTAGTTTTTTATCTAGCTCTATCATACATAATTCTGCTAATTTGGGTCCTATAATTGTATTCATACTAATATCATTTATCTGTTATTTTTAATTATAAAATAATTATTACTAATACATTTTTGTTTTCTTAGTTTTTTACTGGGAGAAAGACTGAAAGAGCATGAAGCAGCCATTTGCTTAAAATATCATCAGTCCCCATGGATTTTTCATTGTGAAGAGAATAATTGTAGAATTGATCACAGTAATATTAAAATATTATACAGAGAAAAAGCTGTATATTTGCAACAATTTAAAGAGCATATCACAACAATACAATGCAAAAATTGGCTTAATTTAAATAATGGAATGGAGATTAAATCCGTATGGTATGACATAATACTCAACTATAAAAGAAATTGTAAATGCAAAATGGGGATAAACAAGTTAAATGACTATTATGTTGGAAGGTTAGTGTTTTGTATCTTAAAGTATTTGTAATTAATATATCAAATTTTGTTTAATGCATTCATTTGTGAACTATAGCCTGATGAGGAATTAAGAAAAATCTAATCTGAAACGCATTGCTGTTCATGAAGGAAAAGAATAAAACAACTGTGTTTTAAAAAATCTTAGTCTCTAATTTAACACAGATATTGGAAAAAAAAGATGTGAGGTTTCACTAGTCTTATGTTTTATAACTGAATTTTTAATTACATTTTATATCCATTCCATAAAAATCTTTTTAAATTGGTTTTATCAATTTTTTGAAAAAAGACTTTATTAAATACACAATATTTACATTTGCCTAATTCAGTATCAGTATAAATTTCAAACTGATTGCATAACATTCATTTTGAATTATTATTAGTTCTTTTTTTTCCTTATTTTAGTTATTATTTTCTTTATAAGATTTACTTTAATACAACATTATTAAACTAGTCACTTGTTAGTACTGTATTCTTTGCATATTCAGTTATTAAATTTTCAATTACAGAAATCTTCAGTTACAATTAGTCTCAATTAGTATATGTAATTAATATTAATTTGAATACATCTAATTAAGGAAAGAGAAAAAAAATAAATGTTTTCCAATAGCAATAATCAACTTCTCAATAAATTATAATACAATATGTCCAAGATTTTATAATCATTTGTATTCAACAAGCACAAATTGATTGAAACATATTCAATAAGCTTTATAAATTATATTTTATGAATGACATCATAATGCACTTAAAAAACTTTACAAATTATAAAACTTATTCACAAAAATATAAGAAAATCATTATTCTAGTATTGAATTTATAAATATTTCACATTAAAAATTATCATTATGAGTTCATTAGTCTTAAGTGTACAAAATTATGAAAATAATTTATACCTTGTATGCTATTTGCTTTAACTAACTGGGCACAATCTTCTAAAACACTTGTGGGAATATCATCTAATGTTTGATTCTAATAGCAATAATTATAATTCATGAGTTTAGTTACAGTTCTCTCAATTATTTTCTAAATACAAAAATTAATTGTTTATAAATTACAATAATATATACAAATCTAACAATTTATCAAATAAATTTGAATTATGCAAATAAATATTGATAAAAGTATTAAATATAATTAATAATATTTAAATAAAGTTTATTTTAATAAATATACTTACATAATAATGTAATTTAAATATTTTACTCAGCAAAAGATTTAAATAATAAAGAAAAAATATTCTACACCAATTTTTTTTATCTAGTAAATATTATTCATGAGTAAAGGTTTCTTCTTCTAATAGTGAGACTAGTGTCTTTATCATGTCTTTTCTTAATTATCTGCAATAAACAGAGACTAAGATCAAAACAATTCACTTTATTTGCCTATTTAACAATGCATTTCAGATTGGTAAGTATTATTTTCTAATCCCTCTTCAGGCTACTAATTTTTAGTTTAAAAAAACAATTAAAATTTAAATTTACAACAAGTACAGTATATAAAACAAACTTCATGGCTTCAGTGTCTAAGATTGTTGTCTCTCTCTACTTGACTTCACATTTATGACACCTTATGGTTCTTAATGACATCATACTATACGTCATCAATTTTCATCCCATTATTTAGGTTGATAAAATTTTGACAATGGAGATTAATGGTTAAAATACTGCCAATTTCTATGGAACCCATACTGTGAAGAAAAAAATTGTATTATAGATAGAAATAATATTAAAATTTTAATTTATTCTTCTCCACATACCGGAATGTACTAAAAATAACTCTTACTTTGAACCTCTTAACTGGAGTGTATGTATAATATTTCAGCTAATGTTTTTGACACCCCTTCTGGGCTCTTCCTCAGGCTTTTTTTGATAAATACTGAGCTGGACATTGAAAATCGAACACTTTCTTTTGATTCATTTACCTTTCAAATCATCGCACGTGGAAACCTTTGAGCCAATTTAAAATGAAACGAACAGAGCGATGTTTTGCGTATTGCGCATGCGTGCTGCAGTACTTTTGTCATAAACTTTTAAACAATATCATCCAGCAGGAACTGCCATGCTGTTGAAAGGGCTATCTCTTCTTTAAAATTGATACATGTTGTGTTGCGTCCTGCTCTAAATATCTCCATAGCTTCCAACCATTTAACATGTTTGGGGTGGGTGGTGGTAATGAGGATGATGTGCGCCACATCAAAGTCCACCGCGATGTCCTTGTCGGTCGCATATGTTCAGAGAGCCGTAGTAGCTCTGTTGTGTTGTATGTCAGCCTTATGTTCTTTAATCCTAATCCCCAATGAACATCTGGTTGAGCCAATGTAAATCATTTCTCTGTCGAACCTGTGGTCTGTGAGCGGGATGGTATAAATTCCAGGTAATTTGACCAGGTTCGGTGGGTCTTTTTCATTACATAGTATTTGGAAAATGGTTTGGCATCTTCTGTAGGTTATATTGACTCGACGACTCCTGGCTATCTCTTTGTACAACAATTTTAACTGTGGATTGAATGTGATGGGGATCCTTTCTATATTTTCCTCTTCCGTCTGTATTTGTCTTTGTGTCTGGTTGTCTGCTTCCTGGCTACTTCTATATCTTTTATACAATCCTCGTACTAGGTTGGTGTACGAGTAGTTGTAGCCATGTACCATTGCTATCCCCTCTATGTGTCTCATTTCTTGAGTTAGCGCTTGGAGAGAGGAGGAGTGTATAAAAGCCCTCTTGACCAAAGTCCTAAAGGCTGCTACCTTGTACTGAAAAGGATCACAGGATCCCATCGGAATATACATGGAGGTGTTACTGGTTTTTCAGTATACCGCCATATGTATGTTCGGCCTTTCAAAGGAGATGTCGATATCCAAAAAATGAACATTTGAGTTGCTGTGCTATTCTATTTCAATCAACAGTCCATAAGGATTGTTGTTCACCGTATCCACAAACTGTTTAAGATTCGGTTCAGACTTCCACAGGATGATGATGTCATCTATGTAACATTTATAGAGTAAACGTTACATAGATGACATTACATATTAAAATTTTATTTAAAAATAATGTTACATGTATAAGATTTAAAGAACACGGCTATTATCCATTGTCAAAATTGAATCAACCTAAATAATGGGATGGAAATTGGTGACATATGGTATGATGTCATTAAGAACCACAAAAGGTGTTACAAATGTGAAGTCGGGTAGAGACACACAACCACTCTGGACATTGAAGCCATGAGGTTCGTTTTATATACTTGTTGTAAATTTAAATTTTAATTGTTTTTTTCCCTTTTCTGTTACTATATATTTTCTTAAAATAGTTTTTTTTTTAAATTTAAAATTTGTAGTCTGAAGATGGATTGAAAAATACCTACCAATCTGAAATGCATTGTTAAACAGGCAAATAAAGTGAATTGTTTTAATCTTAGTCTCTGTTTATTGCAGATAAGTAAGAAAGACATGATAAAGATAACTAGTCTCACTATTGGAAGAATTTTAATTTGAATTTTAGATATTAATTTTTAATTGTTATGCTAAACATTGTATTAAACTTCAGTACATAAGATTATGACATTTCTAATATCATTCATGATAACAAAAAACAAACTTTGAATATCTTCAATATAAAAATATTAACTTGTACTGGAACTAGAAAGAATTAATCAAAATTATCACCTTTCTAAATATTCCAGCAAATAATATATCATCATAAAAACGTTTTCGATCATCTTTAACAATCTTCATCAGTTAAATGATAAAGTAAACAGAACATTAAAAAAATAGAACATAAATTAAAATTACAAAAAAATAATAACTGCGCATGCGTTTGTAATGATGCGCGCTTAACGGAATGAATATAATAATAGGGATATAAGAATATAAAAAAATAAATAAAGAGCTCAACAGTTTCCTATTAAAAATTAATGTTTCGTAAAAAATTACAGTTTATCTTTATAGAATGATTTCCATGCTGTAGTTAGAGAGTGGTCGTCCCTATGATTAATACAAGTAGTTTTCCGTTGGGCTTTATAAATTTCAAGCTTTTGCGAGATGTTTGATAGAGTGCTTGTTAGATGTGGGTCTAATGATGGAAGCTTGGTCCCTTATAACCTCAACTCCTTGCTCAGTAACTTGTATACTGTGGGATTGCGAAGATAATTTACGGATCATATATCGCCGCAATCCCACAGTATACAAGTTACTGAGAAACGATAAAAAGAATGACAACTAGATCGCTACCTCTGGCATTTACTCCATACCAATCAAAGACCGTCGCTTTGATTCAGATAGTGTTTATATAGGTGCTACTTTGAGAAGCTTGGAACAAAGAATCAAAGAACATGAATACTCTATTAGAAAGAACAACGATAGCACTGTTTTAGCATCTTACGCCAACCAGCAAGGAGTTGAGGTTATATGGGACCAAGCTTCCATCATTAGACCCACGTCTAATAAGCACTCCATCAAACATCTCGAAAAACTGGAGATTTATAAAGCCCAAGGGAAAACTACTTGTANATTTACTCCATACCAATCAAAGACCGTCGCTTTGATTCAGATAGTGTTTATATAGGTGCTACTTTGAGAAGCTTGGAACAAAGAATCAAAGAACATAAATACTCTATTAGAAAGAACAACGATAGCACCATTTTAGCATCTTATGCAACCAGCAAGGAGTTGAGGTTATATGGGACCAAGCTTCCATCATTAAACCCACGTCTAACAAGCACTCCATCAAACATCTCGAAAAGCTTGAGATTTATAAAGCCCAAGGGAAAACTACTTGTATCAATCATAGGGACACTCACTCTCTATCTACAGCATGGAAATTGTTCTATGAAGATAAACTGTAATTTTTTACGAAACATTAATTTTTAATAGGAAACTGTTGGGCTCTTTATTTTTATTTATTTTTTTATATTCTTATATCTCTATTATTATATTCATTCCGTTAAGCGCGCTTCATTACAAACGCATGCGCAGTTATTATTTTTTCGTAATTTTAATTTATGTTCTATTTCTTTAATGTTCTTTTCACTTTATCATTTAACTTTAAAGACGATCAAAAACGTTTTTACGATATTAAATTATTTGCTGGAATATTTAAAAACGTGATAATTTTGATTATCTTCAATATATCAGAATAATGAAGCATTATAATTTTAGTTGCATACTTGATGTATTTGTTATGTTGTGCACTAGTGTTGCCACCTTCTGAAAATCACTGACCCAGACGGCACGTCAGGTTTGTTTGAACAGAAGTTCTGAAGCATGCGCAATGTCATTTTACAATGTGAAGAATAACGTGCATGCCGGTTCTAAATCAGTCACAGTTAGGGACTGGGGCTTGCATAGGAGTAACATAAGTAACCTAAATTTAAGAAAGAACGGGTACAGATAACTTAGCTCTATTTGAAACGTGTACGATCGTACAAGGAAAAAAAAAAGTCAACAGGGGTTGCTCACCACACATCGACGTAAACAGACTAACATGGCAGAATTACAGATGAGTTACAGTGAGTGTCAGTTCTTTCACTGTTAAAATAGTGTAAATTTGTAAAAATATTTGCAAGAACTTTCATCGTAATTTCACAATTTCTATTTAATTCACGGGCAAAATTAATAGTTCACCCAGACAGTGAATCAATTCCCGGACTGTCCTGGTGAAAACTGGACGGGTGGTAACACTATTGTGCACTTACAATTACAAAAAGTTCTGTTCTTAAAGTTTTTAAAATCTAATAACTCAAAATATCTTTTAGTCTAATTTTGTAACTAATAGAATAAGATGAAAAGAATAATATATATCAATGTTTCATTAGAGAAAACAGTAAAACTATCTTTTGGTATTATTTTAATACTTAGACACTAAGTAAAAAGATAATAAGTTGCAAGCACCTTCAGTGAAATAAATTTATCGTTTTATGTTCTTGAAACCGTGTCGGTGATTATGTTTGTCATTTTGAACACCATATAGTGTAAG